GGACGTTACGTATCGTAGCATTCATTCTCCCGCCCCATCAAAACGGCACTTAACTCAAACACTCCAACCCTGGTGTCCTCTACGAATTACAAGCACAAGCACAGCTCACTCCAACAAACCAGCAACCACTCCAACTCTGTTTTGTTGATTAATTGGTTAAGAATTTTGCTTTGAATTTAAGTTTTTCGAAACATGTTAATGTTTTAGATTTTTATTCATTTGTACGAACAGTTTTTCAATAGTTTAACAAAAATTAGCGAAATATTAGCAAAAATCTAGAAAAAAATCCAGGTTTGGCATTTTGACCGGGACTGGGATTAAGTCTGGATCCCGGTCGAGCCTTGGAGACACTTAAACTTGTGGTAGTCAAATAAATGCTATACTATACGTTACGTTGCGGAATGTTAAAATATGTACCTATCCGAAATCTCTTTCTCTCAAGGTTAAACGGAATTTCAACTCAAGAAACATACAGTTCATCTAAGATTGAAGTCTCGTTCGAACAGTGCTGAGCTTTATATTACGTTTCTTAACCTTAGTTACAATGGGAATATGACAAAGACTGGGTCTAGTGTGTCTCCGACGCTCTAGATGACATTTAGTCTGACCAATTTACTTTTTTGTTCAGACAAAATGCTTCTGCTTGGTTCAATTATTCATAGCATTCATGAGGCCATGCTATTTTGTCCATTAGCAACATTAGTATTACGCAGGTTGCAGATCGAAACATGTTTCATGTGTTCCGGATAAATTCTTGGCGTTCTGGTAAATAATTTTAAATGGTTACCACAGTACTGGCACTTGCTGACTTGCGGCCATCAAGTTTATATCACAAAAATCACAGCGTTTCGGGTTAAATATATTTTAACTAACTAATATCATCAGAAAGTTTACTTTAAATCTAGAATATACTATTTTAAAACAGTTTTAAAATGCAGGGAAAAACAATACCCCTGCTAACATTCTGATGAATTTTGCACTCGAAAGTTGCCAGCACTTTCATACAAAGATGTCAAGTTTAAGGAATAGGAGCACGAGGAAAGAGGTATTTGGAACTCCGTTCCACAACAGATTTTCGTGACGTATAAATAGATATATAATAATAGTATACATTTACAGACTCAAAAACACAAATTTAACTGATAAAGTGGTCAGTTGTAGAATGTAGATGGACCCAGGATAAATAGGACTTAGGAAACACCTAGGAAGATTTTTGAATAGAAGCTTGTATGCCGTTTCCTTGACCGAAATTTGACAGTTTTTACTGAATTTTTACCAGTGACCAATCAGTGAGGTCAGTGTGAGTGACTCAAGTCACAATCGAGGTAGTAGAAGCTGAATAACCGGAGAAATTATGAAAATTTCATACAGGTAGGACATTTTAGGATTTCAGCTTTCCTCGACCCAAATTTCACTGTTTTAACCCAATCTTTCTTGACTGACCAATTAATGAGTTCACTGTGGATGACACAAGACACGATCGAGATACCCAAAGTTAGATTACCAAAGAAAGCTCTGATAAACAGAAAATATTATTATTCATCCATCTTTTAAATTCGTATACAACCAAATGATAAATCATCGAAGTGTGGATTATTATACCCATGTTTATTGTTTTGACTTGATTCTCTCAAAGATCGATGAATCTGAACTATAACAGTGATACAGTTTTATCAAAGTATTAAAAATTAAAGCGAAATATAAGATATCGTTAGGATAAATGTAACATCATGGCAGCTTACTTCAACTTTAATAAATAATTGTCTTATTTCTTATCCTGATTCCAGTCATCAATCATGAATTGAATAGCCTATTCGAAATTGAAAAAAGAGTATTTCTTAATTCGTAATGCCTCCCTGAAGTTTCCTTGGTTAACCTCAAGATTCCTGGAGACATTTCCTAAAACACTTCTCATTGCTTCAGAGGTGTTGAAATATTTTGTCATTAACTCGTTTAAAAGATTTTCACGCTTAAAGAATTACTTAGAAAAGGAACGATTTTATACTTTCAAAGTAAAAATTTCATACTTTATTTAGGTTGACGTCGTCCAGCTTCAGCACCGTTTTACTTTTTCGTGAACCCAGCTCCTTTTGCTTAGAATTGTGAATTGCATTTATTTATTTGTCTCACATGGCATCACTGCGTCAGCCACTATAAACCTTACTCCTAATTACTTCCTAATTGTTACGAAAATGCCACAATTAGGAGTTAGATTCCTTGAATATTGAAATGGGACTAATTGTAACCATAACGGTACCACCATCCATTATCCAATTTAACTTGTGATTTTGTGGCTTTTATACTCATATAAACCACATACAAAGAACTATCAGCTCGAATTCAAAAGGCATCTGGGGCATTCTATCAGCTTAGCAGTATATGGTACAGTCGCAGCATTAAGACTCCAACTAAAATCAGGATTTACAAAGCGGCTGTGCTCACTATACTGCTTTATGGAAGTGAGGTATGGAATACCACACAGACGCAGATGAAAAGATTTGAGGTGTTCCATCATAGATGTCTGAGGAGAATCCTAAAAATCAAATGGTTTTATCATGTATCTAATGCTGATGTACTTAAGCGGGCTAACATCGCCCCTGTTGATACTTTCGTACGAGCAGCTAGACTCCGATGGTTTGGCCATGTGGTGAGGATGCCAGAAGAAAGAATACCCAACTATCTTCTGCACTGGATCCCAAAGCATGGTAAAAGGTCAAGAGGTAGACCTCGAAAAAACTGGTTGTCATGTGTCCGGGAGGATGCAGCAATCTTCACAGGTGTCGATAACATCACGATAGAAGATGCAGAACAACAAGCTACAGACAGGGTTCACTGGAGAGGTCTAATACACCGGAGAAAGGAGTTACTATGTGGTGCAGGCCACTCCAACGACTAGGAGGAGACCTTTTCAAGTACAAGTAAGTAAACCACATACCGCTCCTTAAATTGCAAACTCCTGAAAAAATTAACGCACTGTAGATCACTATGGCAATGAACTGTAGGTCGCTATGGCAATTAACGCACTGTAGGTCACTATGGCAATGAACTGTAGGTCGCTATGGCAATTAACGCACTGTAGGTCACTATGGCAATTAACTGTAGGTCGCTATGGCAATTAACGCACTGTAGGTTGCTATGGCATTCAGACGTGCCAATTAATCGCAAAACGCCCCAAGAACGGGCTAGGTAGCAGCGCTATCTAGAGTGCCAGACTATTTTTCTTTCTACATTTTTCAGATCACTTGAAGGTTATTTCTATTCAGTGCAGATGAAGACAAGACTGACTAATCTAGATTAATCCAAGATCTTGCTGACAGATCTGAGTCTGTCCAGCGAGCTCATTTCCCGCTGTCAAGTACGTCTGGTGGTAACCATAGTAACTCTAGTCTGGACTGCTTCACTGGACAGATTATTAAACTGCCGCCATACCCCCTTCTTATAGTTATATATGACTGCAGGTTTGCTAGAGCTTTTCGTTTTGTTGCAGCTTCCAGATTTGGCCGTGCTAATAGTTTGTCTTTGAATCTTATTTCACCCTTCATACTTTTGATTTTTGCGGATTGTCCCGTTTCCATGATTGCACCTCGACTCGAGTATAAGCTACGTTTTGTATCACTTGTATTGTGGCACTGTACTCTATACTTATATCGTTTGCAGTGTTCGCATCACAGAGCTGTTTACGGTATATCAATAATATTAAAGGTGTAATTCTAGAGTCTAGACGGTCAGGTAAGTGCCTGTACAAGTGTATTTGTACAGGGCCGGTCTGTACAAGTGTATTTGTACAGGGCCGGGTTGTTGCTTTGTCGCCATTAAGTAAAAGGAGAGGATAATATACGCTCACTAGCTTTATCACTAGTATCTGGCAACCGCTCAGCGGATATAATTGCAGGTTGTCACGTCGTGTCTGTCTTGACACTGAGTGGCACCTACCTCTTAAGTATACTACTATAATTGTCGTGTGTCCTGTACGTGTGATGAGTGTGACTTTTACCAATCAAACTGATAGACCTCCTGGGACTGCTAAGAGTTCTATTAAGCCGAATAAAACACGGTTTTATAACACATGTTACATGCACAGTATAATATAATCATGAATCCTCTATATGTAGGACTATATACCACTGCATAGGAGGTTTTATATGACGTTTTGTCTATGCTCTATGTAGCCGTCCATTGGTTGCTATGGCAACGCTGTTTCTGTTCAATTATCAGTGATTGTGATGAAGATCAGGCAGCTGCTTGTATGTAATATTAATATATACAACACAGATAATCGTGCTCATCAGGCTTTGGAAGTGTGCCATTAAGTTTACGTCTAGGTAAATCTCCGTTTAGTGTGGTTTATTGCGTATATTGATAAATGTTCTGGTGGTTTCGTTGTTCTCTTGTTTAGTACCGTTTATGAAAATAACTCTTTAAAGTATCGTGGTTTAAAATGTATCAAGAATGTAGGCTTCATGGCTTTTAAGGACGTTTTTTGCTTTGCTATTGATTAATTGGGCCTTAGGTGATAGACTAGCTACTAGTTTAAAGTTGATACGAGTAACAGCTGCAACCATTTATATGCTCCAAACCGATTTTCTTAACTGATAAACTACATAATACTATAATATGGCACTCGATGCAATTTAAAATAATAATATGAACATTGGCTGAGCATGACGAAGGCATACTACTGTCTTATTACAGTATTACTATTGAATTTTATCACGTGACAATCGCATTTCCTTAGTTGTGCAGGGTAATTATGGCAGCATCAACTAATTTTAATCAAGAAATTGAATTAGTCAGCTTAAATATACATTATACACTTTGCTTACCTATAGAATAGAATACAGAATTATTTTATTTCTGGAACACCGGTTTAAACTGAAACACAGTGAATATACTATATATAAATATATTATATATTTCGTTGCTGTACTCCTACACATTAAAAGTCGGTGTTGATTAGATCTTCGAAATAAGTCTTTGCATCATTTTATTAACATCGTTATCTCAAATTATTTGTTATATAGTAGTGTTGAAAGTATTAAAACTATATATATATATATATGATAGTGAATAAACATTGTTTAATTTTCATTAACTCATCGTTGAAAGATTACAGCTTGCAATTAGTTCTGTCATTACATAGTTTATAGCTATTGCCTGGTTCAGCTGCTTGTTGTAACCAGCAGTTGTAACATGTCATAACTTGTTGTAAGTTGTAACCTACAGTTGTAACATGTCATGACTTGTTGTAACCTACAGTTGTAACATGTCATAACTTGTTGTAACCTACAGTTGTAACATGTCATAACTTGTTGTAACCTACAGTTGTAACATGTCATAACTTGTTGTAACCTACAGTTGTAACATGTCATAACTTGTTGTAACCTACAGTTGTAACATGTCATTACTTGTTGTAACCTACAGTTGTAACATGTCATAACTTGTTGTAACCTACAGTTGTAACATGTCATAACTTGTTGTAACCTACAGTTGTAACATGTCATAACTTGTTGTAACCTACAGTTGTAACATGTCATAACTTGTTGTAACCTACAGTTGTAACATGTCATAACTTGTTGTAACCTACAGTTGTAACATGTCATAACTTGTTGTAACCTACAGTTGTAACATACCATAACTTGTTGTAACCTACAGTTGTAACATGCCATAACTTGTTGTAACCTACAGTTGTAACATGTCATAACTTGTTGTAACCTACAGTTGTAACATGTCATAACTTGTTGTAACCAGCAGTTGTAACATGTCATAACTTGTTGTAACCTACAGTTGTAACATGTCATAACTTGTTGTAACCTACAGTTGTAACATGTCATAACTTGTTGTAACCTACAGTTGTTACATGTCATAACTTGTTGTAACCTACAGTTGTAACATGTCATAACTTGTTGTAACATACAGTTGTAACATGTCATAACTTGTTGTAACCTACAGTTGTAACATGTCATAACTTGTTGTAACCTACAGTTGTAACATGTCATAACTTGTTGTAACCTACAGTTGTAACATGTCATAACTTGTTGTAACCTACAGTTGTAACATGTCATAACTTGTTGTAACCTACAGTTGTAACATGACCATAACTTGTTGTAACCTACAGTTGTAACATGCCATAACTTGTTGTAACCTACAGTTGTAACATGTCATAACTTGTTGTAACCTACAGTTGTAACATGTCATAACTTGTTGTAACCTACAGTTGTAACATGTCATAACTTGTTGTAACCTACAGTTGTAACATGTCATAACTTGTTGTAACCTACAGTTGTAACATACCATAACTTGTTGTAACCTACAGTTGTAACATGCCATAACTTGTTGTAACCTACAGTTGTAACATGTCATAACTTGTTGTAACCTACAGTTGTAACATGTCATAACTTGTTGTAACCTACAGTTGTAACATGTCATAACTTGTTGTAACCTACAGTTGTAACATGTCATAACTTGTTGTAACCTACAGTTGTAACATGTCATAACTTGTTGTAACATACAGTTGTAACATGTCATAACTTGTTGTAACCTTCAGTTGTAACATGTCATAACTTGTTGTAACATACAGTTGTTACATGTTATAACTTGTTGTAACATACAGTTGTTACATGTTATAACTTGTTGTAACATACAGTTGTAACATGTCATAACTTGTTGTAACCTTCAGTTGTAACATGTCATAACTTGTTGTAACCTACAGTTGTAACATGTCATAACTTGTTGTAACCTACAGTTGTAACATGTCATAACTTGTTGTAACATACAGTTGTAACATGTCATAACTTGTTGTAACATACAGTTGTAACATGTCATAACTTGTTGTAACCTTCAGTTGTAACATGTCATAACCTGCTGTAACATACAGTTGTAACATGTCATAACTTGTTGTAACCTACAGTTGTAACATGTCATAACCTGCTGTAACCTACAGTTGTAACATGTCATAACTTGTTGCAACCTACAGTTGTAACATGTCATAACTTGTTGTAACCTACAGTTGTAACATGTCATAACTTGTTGTAACCTACAGTTGTAACATGTCATAACTTGTTGTAACCTACAGTTGTAACATGTCATAACTTGTTGTAACCTACAGTTGTAACATGTCATAACTTGTTGTAACCTACAGTTGTAACATGTCATAACTTGTTGTAACCTACAGTTGTAACATGTCATAACCTGCTGTAACCTACAGTTGTAACATGTCATAACTTGTTGTAACCTACAGTTGTAACATGTCATAACCTGCTGTAACCTACAGTTGTAACATGTCATAACTTGTTGTAACCGTCAGTTGTAACATGTCATAACTTGTTGTAACCTACAGTTGTAACATGTCATAACTTGTTGTAACCTACAGTTGTAACATGTCATAACTTGTTGTAATCTACAGTTGTAAGATGTCATAACCTGCTGTAACCTACAGTTGTAACATGTCATAACTTGTTGTAACCTACAGTTGTAACATGTCATAACTTGTTGTAACCTACAGTTGTAACATGTCATAACTTGTTGTAACCTACAGTTGTAACATGTCATAACTTGTTGTAACCTACAGTTGTAACATGTCATAACTTGTTGTAACCTACAGTTGTAACATGTCATAACTTGTTGTAACCTACAGTTGTAATATGTCATAACCTGCTGTAACCTACAGTTGTAACATGTCATAACTTGTTGTAACCTACAGTTGTAACATGTCATAACTTGTTGTAACCTACAGTTGTAACATGTCATAACTTGTTGTAACCTACAGTTGTAACATGTCATAACTTGTTGCAACCTACAGTTGTAACATGTCATAACTTGTTGTAACCTACAGTTGTAACATGTCATAACTTGTTGTAACCTACAGTTGTAACATGTCATAACTTGTTGTAACCTACAGTTGTAACATGTCATAACTTGTTGTAACCTACAGTTGTAACATGTCATAACTTGTTGTAACCTACAGTTGTAACATGTCATAACTTGTTGTAACCTACAGTTGTAACATGTCATAACTTGTTGTAACCTACAGTTGTAACATGTCATAACTTGTTGTAACCTACAGTTGTAACATGTCATAACCTGCTGTAACCTACAGTTGTAACATGTCATAACTTGTTGCAACTTGTCCGGATATGTTTAACTCATGACTGCCCACGTTGAACACGTGTTAAAAACCACATGTTTGAAAACCCCATTTACCTTGCCCCCTGGTTTACCGTCCGTGCCCACGAATATTGACCGTTTATAAACTCATATTTAAAGCAATTGTAGCTATTTGTACACCTCTTTACAAGTGATTAGTTCAGCAGTAAATTAAAAGAAAGCTTACTTCGTCTAGAGCTTGTACTACAATTGCTAATGTTGTAGTAGCTTATGACATTACTGCTTTCATCTCGTCATTCTCTGCAATTATACTGGCTTGTTGACCCTGATTGGTCCTCCTGCCCCCTTTTAAATACGGTTTGGCATAATAGAATATATTCTCATAAGTCTGTTCGGCTATATATTGTTTTTATTCACTTGACCTTTAACAACACGTCTAACAACACATTTAACCTTTAACAAGACCAGTTAAGCAACACCAGTTATTCGCCTCATTCCCATTTAAATGAAACGTGTAAGTTTCATTTAACATCTCTCAACTTCACTCGTAGCTCCACAATATTGGTTTGTTGTATGTATAATACATATTTGCTACCCGTCAGTGTTTATCTAATATCTATAGATCATATTAGATAACGATTAGAAATGGTCAGATCTGATTAAATTAGTATTATAAATGATGTATAAAATAATTTTATACGCAGAATATGTTTCATTGACGGAACAGCGCAGTGCTTCTTTCTTGCTCCTCGATGATTAATCTTTAGAGTTTGTCGAACTAAAGTACGTGTACCCAACAACACGGTATATCTATTGTTGTATTCTGGAGAAAATACAGCTCTATATAATCGCTTGTCCGTATTAATAATAGTACACGCTTTTCCGAATCAATGGCCTACAATAATGTTCACACAAAGCCACATTATTACAGCATTAGTGAATATTATCTGTCGATAGATAATAAGAACACCTTTTCTATTCTTCGTTCATTATTGATACAGTTATCTTGTATAGCTGTGTATAATAGAAGACAAGCAAAAAAAGTGTCTTAGTACATTTCACTTTTTATTAAGCAACTCCGTACCCCAATTCGTCTGGAGAATTCTATTTAGCGACCGCTGGTTTTCATATCTTTAAAACTAACTGGTTTTATATCTAACTGGTACAACCTCAGCAGGTATAATTATCAGTTGGTTAACGCCCCAGTTTTCTAGTCATTGCAGTACAGCACTGCAGCAGTTTCAGTATACCTTGAGGTAATATGAGTTACTATAGTTACCAATATAGTTATCATAGTTACCACTAGAGTTGTTACTATAGTTACCACTAGAGTTACTATAGTTACCACTAGAGTTACTATAGTTACCACTAGTTACTATAGTTTCAGTATACCTTGTGGTAATATGATTTACAGCGCCATTTTGTAAAACACTTCATACTTCACGGCTACTACTCGAAAATTTGCAAACCCTGTCAAAAATACTTGCTCGACCTGCCTAAGTTCATTTCAAACAGCTTTTTTATATTTTCAATCCGAATTCCTATATAGCTGCAATCTGCATACCCGCATACCTTGCGTTATAAGAGTTTGTTTCTAGAAGATTCTTCATCTCAGCACCTGCCGAGTTAGTGTGGTCGACTCTTTGTTAATAATTTAATTATTGTATTTGAGCTTTCTTCATTATCCCTTTCTCAGCATATATACATATCAAGGAATGTTTCTTCAGCGTTTTGCCTGTGAACGGTATACTTAGCGTAAATCCTTAGTTCATAATTGTCTGACTTATAGTTCCATCGATTGGCTAGAAGTCGGGAATATCCGAGAAATGGTTTATTATTAAGAATGATAATTATTCAAAATACCGCTGATCAATTTTTGCTGTCTAAAATCTTTGCTGTCTAAAATCTAAAATCCAATTCCATGTCTAGGATAATTTCTAATTTGCCGTAATCATGCTCATTATTAATCTTACCCTGTTATAATCCAAATTCAGTTGGGCAGTCGTGTTAACAACACTGTTATAGTTTTCAGTATCGTCAGTTATAGGTGTTATAGTGACCAAGTTTTAATATCCTGATTTAACTTACTACTTTGTTTAGCATTTGCACGGAGGGATTGCTTTTATTTTGTGGGGTCATTCCAGAAATTCATTATTAGTTTCTATACGTTAAATCTTCGTGGGTAATCTCAAATATGTCTGGATGACATGATTATTCGTGGAGCACGCTTTTACTGCTAATTTAAAGCAGTTTACTGTTAAATTATGGTGGTTAGCTGACTTTACTAGAATATCTAATTTTAAATTAGAAATATTTAATTCTCATTAAATCTCTTTATATCAGCGGATTATATCACTCATAGAATTACTCGGCGTAAAAGAGAACGCGAAATCTTTTCCAATTTCAATTATGTCAAATATGGTCCAGGTTTTAAAGTCCCTGAAGATTTTCTTTAACTCGACTGTCGCGAATATAATTTACTCAGCTAATAATTTTGACAGCCCGCTGCAAGCCGCATCCTTCGAGCTGACAGTATTCCAAGAATTTGTGATCATTTGGTTTATTGTCACATGCATATATTACATGAAGACAGGGCATCGCCTTTGATCTGAAATTATTCCTGGCATCACTAATATTAATTAGATCATCAAAAACTAGACTGAAGTAACTCGAAGTTTTTTTTAAATAGTAAGAAGGGAAAAGTTGAAGAATTAAACGTCAATTTGCGACATATTTTACCTCTTCATCACCTCTTGCAATTTTGATACAACTAACTCCAACCCTTAATTTATTTAATTAATCTGAGACCTCAATTTTTAAGTGGCCAAATTAATAATTATAATTATAAGTAAATAAATCAAAAATTTGCGTTATAATTGCATAGTGACATTTAACATACACGTAGAACTACATTTTCCACATTGATTGACACAAATATCTCTTATATTTATCCACAAGACCCAATAAATGATGAAGTCACCTGATGATTCACCATTAATCAATTTTAGAAGCTGTCTTGATATAGATATTTCGTCATTTGCTGTCAATATATACTATAGGGAATTAATAATGTCATATCGTTCATTAGTTCGGATCAGCTAATTTTGATTACTCTCCTGTAAGTTTTGAATACACAGTTTGACTTGCTTCGATAAATATAATACTCGGGCACCTGTCATTTCTGTCGAGTTTAGCGTAGTGAACCAAGCTTCGTTATTTTGTAAATTACTTGCTTTTCACATTAAGGAGATCAAGATATTCACCATCAACCTGTTTGCAGGACTGCAGTCTAATATTAGTCTGGACACTTCTTTTCGTAGACAGAACGTTCCCTGGACTGAATTTATTTAATTACCTATAAAATATTTAACCTTCACAATATAGCTCGTAACATCTACCACTACATATATATGCTTATATGTGCCATGAATGGTTTTATCGCCCGATTATTACACAGCTCTACGTGAATTTGAGAGATTTGTCTGATAATTACAGTCTGAAAGATAAAACATTCCCAGAACAGGATGCTGCTGGAATGACAGGATGATTGAGTACACGGCGTTACCATGACACCCCTTCTAACCACTATCTGGGATGCTTTCAGGCAGCTGCTGTGTTGCGCCCAACCTAAGGTTAGTACTGCAAATAATTCTCCTTATAAGGTCATGTTTAATGCTTATATATAACTGTACCGGTTACCCAGGTTACCCAATATAACGACTCTTGTCTCCACCTAATGTCCCTTGTTAAGCGGTCGCTTCACCAGTTCACCAGTTAACTGTAGGCTTCAATATTAACTCATGATGCAGTTACCTTGACCATAATGATAAAACAAAAACAGTTTATAATCTGCCATTCGCTTGCATTAGTGATGATACCGGCAACTGCGATAAACGGTTAAAAAATCAATTATGGTCATAATTGATCTAAATTTGATCGATAGACATTTCAACAAAGCGATCTTATTGTATTAAATTTTTGTCCGCCCTTAAATATAACTACAAGTGCGAAATCAGGGCCAATACTAAAATACTGCTTAAACTTGTCGAGTTGAATTTTAGTTAAACTTTTCACCAAATCCATAAGGCATAATCCAAATTAGCCTCCTGGAAGTAAGAAAAAGCTCGTATTGGTCTATTATATAGTGGCTTTGTTAGCAACCAATACTTATTTCTAGTAGAATGCAGCGACAAAAGACAGCAAAATAGTACATATAACATACTCTACTCATACTTTCTTAATAAATGTGTTACATGCCTACCCCCTCCCCCTTCTTTTTAAATCATAACTCTGTTTTGGTTTTGGTTTTGGTTTCCTCCTTTGGTACTCATCAATCCACATTATCCAGAGTTTTCCCTCTTATTTAGTGACTAGTCATATTCGTACTCGCGTACTGTCATCAGAAAGCCGCTTGTAGTGTCGTGGCAGTTCACAATAAAGTTTGCAATTCTCTGCATCTCAAGTCCTGACAGTTGTAATATCCGCCTGCTGTGGAATTACTACTTGGCTTCTTATCATGACAGGTCTGACAAGGGCGGCTTCTGCCAGTAAATTAGTGTGCCAGCTTGTTGTGTCTTCTCTTGCTTGTACTGTGTACATTGTGCAATATTGCGGTATCATTAATCAACTGTAGCCGAATAACTTTGAGGGTTGCAGGTACATCGTGCCTTCTATAATCAAATAATTTCTTTGTTACAATGAACTATATATGACTTGTGTAACTTAAGTAACCGGCGTACATCATTGCACAATCCAATGTACACCATCGCACAATATTATCACGGTACTACATTAGATAATAATATCTGGGATGTGTACCACTGTGTATAATCTTATACCACTGTGTATAATAATACTCACGAGTCACGAAGCTCTGTAATCACACTGTGGTAGGAGAGTAGTGAGTGATCACCCCGACCGTAGCTACTAATCAGTCGTATTTTAGTACTCATATTATACCCTGCAGTGTATTGGTCGTGAGTCAGAGTTGCGTGTTGGGTGGTCCACGAGATTTAACGCTCGTTATAAAGTGGTTTTAACCACTGTAGGCTTACTTTCTCAGCTTACACGGCCTACTTATACTTAATTTAGCCATTAAAAAACCATATTTATTATTTGTTAAGTTATAATTATTTAATTTACAGCTCACTAGGCTCCTTTTTTCCTCGTTATTCCTTCTATAACTTACTGCTTAAACATTTCTTTTTGCATCTTGCGCTCGTTAGTACTTTAGCAACCTATTGAGAAAGTCTTTGATCTGCCAGAAAGTTTCAATACATTTTGTGCATTTATGTTTGTACAACTGCAAGTGCATGTATATTTTATGACTCATTTGGTGCCGAAAAAGATATGAGATTAATTAAATAGCCATTTACAGTTGTTGCCATACATTTAGATTATCTTCATACAGCACTGCCACTTTTAAGTTTCAATACAACAAGTCATTTTTATCAACAACATTTCTAGATCAATTTGCTAGGTGTAAGGCGTAATGTTTTCAGCTATAAAAGTATAAAGCGATCGTTATAAAGTTATAAAGTTATAAAGTTATAAAGTTATAAAGTTATAAAGTTATAAAGTTATAAAGTTATAAAGTTATAAAGTTATAAAGTTATAAAGTTATAAAGTTATAAAGTTATAAAGTTATAAAGTTATAAAGTTATAAAGTTATAAAGTTATAAAGTTATAAAGTTATAAAGTTATAAAGTTATAAAGTTATAAAGTTATAAAGTTATAAAGTTATAAAGTTATAAAGTTATAAAGTTATAAAGTTATAAAGTTATAAAGTTATAAAGTTATAAAGTTATAAAGTTATAAAGTTATAAAGTTATAAAGTTATAAAGTTATAAAGTTATAAAGTTATAAAGTTATAAAGTTATAAAGTTATAAAGTTATAAAGTTATAAAGTTATAAAGTTATAAAGTTATAAAGTTATAAAGTTATAAAGTTATAAAGTTATAAAGTTATAAAGTTATAAAGTTATAAAGTTATAAAGTTATAAAGTTATAAAGTTATAAAGTTATAAAGTTATAAAGTTATAAAGTTATAAAGTTATAAAGTTATAAAGTTATAAAGTTATAAAGTTATAAAGTTATAAAGTTATAAAGTTATAAAGTTATAAAGTTATAAAGTTATAAAGTTATAAAGTTATAAAGTTATAAAGTTATAAAGTTATAAAGTTATAAAGTTAAAAAGACCGCGACTAATTGCACGATTCATTTGTTGATGAATAACCTTTCGTGGTTGCACTTGTGGTTTTTGTGTGTTATTTTTACGCTTGCACGATCATCACGAAGTCGCAATTGATTAGTCCCACAGAATATGATGTTTTTGATTACAAGTCATATATATAGGAAAAACGCGGATGTGTGCGTTAAAACTATATAATTATTATAATTATATCGGTAAAATGTTTGGATTGGTTTTCATTTCCGTCAGCAATTATATATTTTAACTTATCAACTTAAATAATTGTCGTTATTATAACACAATAAAGACGCCTAAACTGGATATTTGATGCGGATTTAAAACCAATCAAGCTTCCTAGTTTCGACCATAATTTCGACCACTTATTTTCTTACACATTTGACAGAAGCTGTGACTCTATAATATTGTCAAGACATGACGTAAGCTGAGCTTCGCATCATCCCATTCCCGTCTGTGTTATTTTACATGAGATATATCTTACAAACAGTTTACATTTTTACTGCCGCTTCGGTTTGACCTTAGTGATATCCAGTAATACGTTGTGTATCTTCCCAACTGATATTTTTAAACCAACCATTCATTATTCCAATCTGTCACCTGTCAACTGATTATTTGATTCCACGAAGACCGAACTTCTGCAAAATGAAAAACTGGTCATTGCTGAACTGAATTCTTAAATATTCGCCTTTAACTGAAGATCATGTATTTATCCCAAGTTCGGCTGATCCGAGATTTGCAGAGGAGCAGAAAACTCTACCAATCAGTCAGCAGACAATTGCTAACTTCCTAACCATTTACCTGTTTTTTTGTTCCGCGGAAGTGAGATCAAAATGGATTAAAAAATGTCTGGGCTCCCGGGAAATCAACTTATGAAATTGGTTATTTGATAGATAATTACAATTATACGATTTCGTCCATAATTTTGTCTCATGGACTAGTTGGGACTTCGTATTATTTAAAAAATCCGGTATTTGTTCATCAGGCCCTAGTATTAAAATTGATGCTCAAGCGCGTCTCTACTGAAACAATTCCACGAGTAGTGCCGAGCCTCAACCTAGTCTCACCGTATCTAACCGTTCATGCATCGGTTATATATCGGTGTAAAGGTAATGGTATAGTGTATACTAAACGGTCTACCTTCAAGTATTTGTTTTCGTGTCATCATATAATAATGTTCGTGTCAACAGATTGACCTGCTGTTCATGACTGTTGATCATGGCGTCGATACAGTATATAGTTACAGTATCAAGTAAATCTGTCACGTGGTATTATATATAACGTAACATTAGCCGCTATATACTAATCCTTTGGACAGCAATATTCCGGTACCTGTTTCAGTTAATGGTATCAAATACTAGAGACTTCAAGGCTTTTACCGGTTAGAGATTACCGTTTTAGTGTGTGTGAATAACGAAGGTGTGAATATAAAAGTGTTTTTCCGTGCACGGTATAATTTATTGCTGTCTTCTTCTCTATCACATAGGTTATGCCATATAGAATTAATTTCTTGGCTGGAGCTGGCGTTTTATTCGATGTTTAGCCGATGTCTACGATAACATAATGCATTTGCCGCTATAGTATTGGTAGTCGAGTTTGGTGTTTGGTTGTATTAGAGAGAAGCTGGTATGGGGCAACAAAACTCCAAGTCGTCGAATAAGAAAGGTGTACCATCTGTAAAGGAGGAGCCGGGGAACAAAGATATTGAATGTTCAAAGTTGAATGCTCCGTCTGAAAAAAGTTCAGTAGAGGATCATCCGAACGAGGAATTTTCAGCAGAAGCTGTCCTGACTCATTCACAGCTGAAAGAAATAAAGCCTGTAGTAGTTCTCGAATTAGACCGTTCAAAGTTGGAAGAAGCTTGCCAGACGATTAAGCCCGTAGCCCCTCCCCGTGGATGTGCTGCTGCGAAGCGGGTTGATCCCGTGATGAAAGAAGAAGTTACTGATCCTAAAGATGCAGGTATATCTGAAGTAGTGCCAGCAAATGACTTGAACCATCTAAAAGAAATTAGTCCTAACGATGGTACACCTGAAATAGTGCCAGCAAATGACTTGAACCATATAGAAGAAGTTAGTCCTAAAAAAGTAACGTTTGAAATAGAACATGACTTTGACCACCAAGAAGAAGTTTGTCCTAAAGATGTAACACCTAAAATAGTGCCAGTACCTGACTTGGACCATTCAAAGGTTAAAAAAGTTTCTCCTAAAAAGGTTACGTTTGAAGTAGTGCATGACACTGACTTTCATCCGAGACTAGAAGAAGTTGCCGAAGTTAAATATGCCACAGTTGAATTCGGAGAGACGGGGAGTTTCAATCCGGGAGTTTCAAAGTCTACTCAACACTCCCCAAGTTGCTCGGAGAGTATTTTCACCACGGTTAGTTGAAGTTGTTTTATCTCCTTATATGGGCATCACATATAAGGGTTAAGAATAGTCTCGCCACGAATAGTTCCGCGGAGCGTTTATGAGTAATTCACAGTAAGATTTTGTCAATTTTAGATTTTCATCAAATATTAACTTTACTGCTGCTTTTTGGTTTTTTGATGAAATATTACCGGACAAGGGCTATTATACAGGTCACAAACTCACCACCAGAGATAAACAAACGTCTCGACAAGTATAACATCTCCCTAGTGATAATAGATCTCAGACCGCATTGCTGACCAAGGAGGCAGGAGGCTCCGTGGTTAGATTAGATACAGTTAACCAACATTGGTCCTACTATTGACTACATGGTCGCCTTTCATGATCCATGTAGTGCACGTGTAGACGTGATTGATGGGACCACTTGTGGGCAACTCCGACTCGAACAATCGTTGTACAGAAATGTAGAACTAGATCTCTCTGCTCATGTTAATTGCTAAACACAAACACACTTCTTAAATCAAGTTTAGTTTATAACGTTACTCCTCCGCACCCGCAACTCATCTTTTGTATCTGTTTAGTGTTTATGTTTGCATAGCCCTCTTACCAGTAAGTTCATAATTAATTTCTAGTGTTAGTTTAGGATAACATCTCGAGGTACTAGGTGTCTCACATTTCACCTAACCTACCAGTATCTAGTATCATGGTGGTGGCGGGGGGCATTATCTAGTGCACCTCCTACTTCTCTAAAACTTGTTAAATGTTAAATGTTCTTGAACTGAAATTGACAACTTGTTCATGTACAATTAAAGAATTAACAATCTTGTGTTGAATAGGCTTGGTCCCGAGTGGGGGATGTGTTACTGTGTCCCAGTTACTCCTGACCACATTTGTTTAAGGAGTAAAACTATAATATCATTATGTATAATGTATATGGTTATGATTTTTATTCCATATAATTTACTAACTCCTCCTCCTGAATTCAGTCCTTCATCAATTAAACCCCCTCTAGGACAAGTTAGCAGAAACCCACGACCTCGGAGAAGATAACCAGAAAGGTCTAATCTTCAAGAACCCCACCACAGACTCGCCCACTTACACACCCCAGACAAACGGGAGTATCCCCCACCTGGAACACAACAAGTCACGTGACCTCCACACGCCCCCTACTGCTGTGGTTAATCTGGAAACGGTTCAGATAGAACTCTGTGAAACTGAGAGTGAGACGAAACAGTGCTCGGATACTGACGACATGCTTACTACGGTTAGTGTTCACCTTAATTGGGTTACTACCTGTTAATACCTTAGCGGCCCTTTTTATAAGAGGCTCTACTGCAGTCTACATGTACGTATTCGGTCGACTCCAACTGTAAATTTGTAACCTTTTAAACTTCTATGACAGTGGAGTTTTACTGTCCTCTATGTTTTTGTTCTTTCTTCTTTTTGATGAAAACTTGTCCAAAAACTCAAAAATTCCATAATATGTAATAATTATCGTTACAATTTAATAAATAGTCTTGGGGATCAGATAGTGTGTTTTGAGAAACTAGTGAGGTATGGGATGAATTATATGATTATTCAATTTTGTGGATATCTCGTGGTCAAGCTGTGATGAGCTTGGGATCCTCTTTTTAAACATCTGCTCAATTCACAAAAACGATATCTTCATTGATTGTGCTAAGTACGACGTGATAAACTTGAACGAAACTAGCTCTACCCTCTAAAGTAACGGTATATAAGAGCAAAGGATTTCATCCCTTTGTCCTCCAGGCTCTTAGCAAGAAAGGAGCCAGGAAGACAGGACATCTATCTGTATTCCAGGCTCCTAGTGTGACAGGACATCTATCTGTATTCCAGGCTCCTAGTGTGACAGGACATCTATCTGTATTCCAGGCTCCTAGTGCGAGGAAAACTTCCTGTAGAGGGGGAGGTTTAATCACGTACCTAGATAAACGGGTATGTTATTCTGATGACATTGAAAAGCACAAACTCAAATCAAGAGCCAAGTACATTTGGTTAATTCCTTATAACTAAGATTTGATCTTGAAGGAAATTCAGTGGTAACAAAATTTCGACGAGATTCTAGACGATATTCTCTCTAAATTGAAATTATGGAAGGTAACAGTTTTTTGAGTGATTTCAATAATGACTTGATTAAACACAGATTTGGTGAAAACTTACAAAATGTGACTAACAATTTGGTGTCCCCTAAGGAACATTTGTTTCCTGTAAATATACGTGATTTGTCTGATATAAATAATAAGTTAACCTTTTGAGACAATTCCTGTCACTGAGGGCTTTTGATCCATCAATCGATCGACTCAGATTCAGCACAAATTTAAATCGCACTTTATGAGAGGAAAGGAAATTAAAGACCTTGACGCCTTCATTCTCAGCCATGCACGAGTCGATCTTTTTAATTTACCAAACCGTTATAAACCTTTATGAAGCGCCTGTCAAAAGTCGCCTGAACTCTATAGCCCGTGACGTGTCCAAAACCAGGACATCATTATAATCTAGAACACTGCAGCCTCATATGTCCAAAACTGTATCAGTATTCAGTAATCACGTGGCGAGATCGTAAGTCACGTGACCATGCTCTCAGTCTCTTGACAGGGCGCCACTCATTATTTTAGATAAAGTAATCGAGGTTTTGTCAGACATAGATATCAATATTTAATGACACTGAAAGTTACCGGTTTTGAAGCTGTCTGGGTTAGCACATGCTATCATCACATTCACATGATAATATAAATTTTGACATCTAACGTTTACCTGACCTATTCTTCAGGCTGCAAGAAACATAGTAGAAGATGCGATACAGCAAGCTATAGCATCGGAAGTTGTATCATTGGTAATTTGCCGGACGCTAGGATTTTTACTGGTCGAGAGAGCAACGACCAACGCTCAACGCCTTTATATGTATCCTGAGTCAGTTTAGCTTTCTTCAAACACAAGGAAACTTTGTGTAGATGCAAAATATGGATGATAGGAGAGATCTTATATTTGACGAGCAGCGCTACTAATTAGCGTTACTAATTAGCGATCATTTGAAGCGAACATTATGAAAAATGTCAGACAACTGGTGAAAGTACTGATTAATCTAAATATTCTTGTCGTTGATATTATATAACAAGCATATGGCCGATTCAAAGTCGGACTGCTGAACAAATTTAATATAGAGTAAAAATTAATTTATTCTCGATGTGATAAGATCAGAAATTGTTCATGATAACTAACAAGCATTCCATTTAGGTTTTATTGACTTTTGAATAATTCATATATTTCACAAATCGTCCGAATTATTCACTTTTAAGCGTGTTTTATTAAAGTCACATTTTCGACCTATTCAAATAATTGTATTTTATTTAGCCAATAATAGCCACTACGTAAGAATACAAATTTGAATACAGCTCCTAATATGAAATTCTTTCGCTTTAATAGGATAAGAATTGATTAAATTCAAATACTAAAACATCTAATCTGAACTACTCATTAATAAAAGTTGAGATATTAACCCGTATCATTGTATATGTTAATGATCACTAATAAAATGTTATGCTTAGGTTTCGTCTGCAGGAGTCTTATTGTATAATATGTACTATAATATCATCCAACCGCTCTTCGTTATCATCATCTTGTTGAAGTAATTCCTCAATAAACCTACCTTTCAGTTAATTCTTTAATCGCCATGGTCGTTCTGAAGTGTCTTGTGCCCAGTTTCCGGGTGGAGTTGCAACAGATCTTCTGAAGTTGATGGGATTGGTTTACCAGTGCTGTCTGAGTTGAAGAAAGCCAGGAAGAAAGGTATCGAGAATAACTCAGGCCGAAAATTTTGTAAGTCAACGTTTTCCTGGAGACTACTTTTCTCCAGTGTTCATGTTACTCTGATCATTATGAGCCGAAAATAGCCTTATAAATAGCGAATTCTTGATCTTTTGGTCGTTCTCGAAATATATCCCTGAGTACAGCCAAATCGTACAGCCTCTGGGAGATGCCGGTCTTGTGGTCAACTGAACGGCTAAGTTGGGCCATTTTTTCCACGTGTCATTTTAGTGGCACGCCTTCCTGACCCTGTAGCTCTGGCTAGTACAGATCCTTCCTGCTTCATAATCGGTAATCCGGTATAGATATTAGTCTTAGCTATACCTTGTATTATGAAATTTTTGGCTGCGAAACTTCGCCATGTCGTCACGTTGGCTTTTCCAAATTTCAATTTTGTCTAAAAATGAATTTGGTAAATAAAATTAACAACAACTTTCGGCCCACAGTTAAAACTACTTTAAGGCATAAACATGTGGAAAATTTCTTTTGAAAACTTAAAAAGCAATTTACTTTCTATAAACTGACTGAATTCTGTTTCGTCAAGATGCATCCTTCCCCTAACCTTTATATATTAGGCGATATTTACCGTAGACTTAATTAAGCATCAAAAATCAATAGTTCCCACAGTCAGACAACGAATGAGTTAAAAAGTTCCAACAAAAGGTCGTTACGAAGGGAAGGTTAGGTTGGTAAGTAAACTTTGTTTTTTATGTCAGGTCGTTCCGAAGGGAAGGTAGTGTTGAAGTTAACCATGTTTTTTTATTCAGGTCGTTACGAAGGGAAGGTTGTGTTGAAGTAAAACATTGTTGTTTATTTCAGGTCGTTTACGAAGGGAAAGTAGTTTGATAGTAACTTGTTAAGGTGTTGGTTTTATTTCAGGTTCGTACGAAGGGAAAGTAGTATTGAATAAACCATTGTTATTTATTTCAGGTCGTTACGAAGGGAAGGTATGTGTTGAAGGTTAAAACATTGTTCAGGTGTATTATTTCAGTCGTTTACGAAGGGAAGTAGGTTGAAGTATACATTGTTATTTCTTTCAGGGTCGTACGAAGAGGAAAGGTTAGGTGTGAAGTAAACATTGTTAAGGTGTATGTGTTATTTTATTTTCAGTCGTTACGAAGGGAAGGTAGTGTTGGAAGTAACATTGTTTAGTGTATTTATTTCTGGTCGTTACGAAGGAAGGTAGCTGTTGAAGTATACATTGTTAAGGTGTTATTTATTTCAGGTCGTTACGAAGGGAGGTAGTGTTGAATTCCCTATAAAGAATATCAGCAACCTTGTTAAAACAACCTGGATGCAGAAAATAGAGGCCTCTCTGGGGAGATTACCATGCTGGATGTTTTACTTTGAAGGAACCCTAAGTCATCTCTTATCATCCCTCTGACGGTAAGTTTAACTAGTGGTTATGTTGGTACTAGTGGTCGTTACTAGTGGTTACTGTGGTTACTCGTGGTTACTAGTGGTTACATCTATATCAATCCCTCCTGCCGGTTAGTTAATAGTGTTACTAGTGGTTACTAGTGGTTACTATTGGTTTACTAGAGGTTACTAGTGGTTACTGTGGTTATAGTGGTTAAATCTCATTTTCAATCCCACTGTCGTTAGTTACTAATGGTTACTAGTGGTTTATAGTGGTTACTAGTGGTTACTAGTGGTTACTAGTGGTTTACTCGTGGTTACTAGTGGTTACTAGTGGTTACATATCTTATCATCCCCCTGACGGTTAGTTACTCGTGGTTATTATAGTGGTTACTAGTGGTTACCATTTGGTTTATTTTGGTTAATAGTGAACTTTTTGTTACAGCGGTAAACTATGACGTCACTTGCGTTGTGATGACGTAATGTTCAGGTAAACTGATCTCATTTGCAGCCCGATGAATGAACCCACTTCACTTACTTTGGAGAACGAACCTTTAAGAACACGGGAGATTGCAGTTTCTGGGCACATTGACTGTTATCGGCTATAATACACGTCGACTCTTTTTGTAACATCTACGAGTGTGGTGAGTGGTTACTAGTGGTTACTGGTGGTTACTAGTGGTTAACTAGTGTATCTCGTGGGTACAAGTGGTTATAGTGGTTACGGGTGGTTAACTAGGGGTTATGGTTACTAGTGGTTACCTTATACTTTCTATAATAAACACTCGGACTACTGCTATCTATTTCGTTTAACACTTTTAGTAGTTAGTAAATCTTTCAAAGTACGTTATATCTCTTTAAAAAGGGCATTCGGCACATTATGAATCAAAACGCCATAAAAAAAGAAAACTAAACATCACCATTTTATAACTTCTTCCACTCCCTCCCTATCTAAAGCTAAAAATCTAGTCTTCCAGAAATCAGTCAAATTCTTAGTCTATTATTCAAGATGTATCAAACATTATTGTGAGATAAAAAAAATAACACCGGAATCAACTAAAGTTTCTAAAAAACTATGATAAACCGTTTTTACCTTAATAAACCCAAAATTCAAAATATAAATAAATAATTGTAGCAATGGCCGTGCTGCCCCAGTCAAAGTGATGAAAGTATCTGGACTAGAGGAGAAGGAGCAGGAGAAGTGTGGGGCGGTGGGGAAATGAAGTAGGTACTTTCTGATGAGAGCATTAATGAGGATCTTATCAAGGTTAAAACTAATGTGTTACTAGTGGTTACTAGTGGTTACTAATGGTTCCTACTTCCTAGTGGTTACTAGTGGTAACTCGTGGTTATAATGGTTACTAGTGGTTATAATGGTGTACTAGTGGTTATTACGTTTTTAGATGGTTACTAAAGTCTATATAAGGATATTAATAGTTCAAACTGAAACTCCTTTGAATGTTTTTGCACAACAAGTTAGGACATAATAAAAACGACCTTGTCGAACACATCAGTTCAAGTTAGAATACATTTCTACTGTGTAAAAAGTGTCGGTTACAGATTCACGTGGCTGCAGTGTGAACAACATTAACATTATGTAGACAGCAGTCCAGCGGACCAATGCAGAACATATCCCATTTACTTGTTGTAATGCAGAGGGTTAGTGGTATTTAATATAGTATTATACTAGTTAATACTAGTTAATATTCATTGTTAATTACTTATGTTTTTTTTTTAATATTTAAATACTTACTTACTTTAGGTTATATAGGGGTATAATAAGATAATAGTATAATGCGTTTCGTGGTTTTTTCAATGGACATTCACGTGGTATTTTATATGACGTCAGTGGTATTGCAATGCCGTCACGTGTATTACATTGACGTCACTGGTATGACATGACGTCACGTGTGGTTATTTCAATGACCGTCATGGTATTACAAGTGACGTCACGTGGTATTCAATGACGTCACGTTGGTATTACAATGACGTCATGTGGTATTCAATGACGTTCACGTGGTATTTACAATGAGCACGTGGTATTACAATGACGTCACGTGGTATTACATGACGTCACGTGGTATTACAATGACGTCAACGTGGTATTACTTGGACGTTTTTCAGGTGGATTACAATTGGACGTACGTGTATTACAATGACGTTCCCACGATTGTATTGCAATGCCGTCACGTGGTATTACAAATGGACGTCACGTGGTAATTAAAATGACGTCACGTGGTATTACAATGACGTCAACGTGAGTATTTACAAGGACGTATGTGGTATTACAATGTCGTCACGTGGTAATTGCAATGACGTCAACGTGTATTTGCAATGACGTCAGTGGTATTGCAATTGACGTTCACGTGGTATTACAATGACGTCACGTGGTATGTGCAATGCCGTCCACGTGGTATTGCAATGACGTTCACGTGGTTATTACAATGACGTCACCGTGGTATTACATGAGTCATTGTGGTTTTACATGACGGCTCGTGGTATTACAATGACGTCCACGTGGTATTACAATGACGTCACGTGGTATTACAATGACGTCACGTGGTATTACATGAGGTTCACGTGGTATTACAATGACGTACGTGGTATTACAATGACGTCACGTGGTATTACAATGACGTCACGTGGTATTTCAATGTCGTCACGTGGTATTATCAATGAAGTCCGTGGTATTACAATGACGTCACGTTTGGTATTACATGACGTCACGTGGTATTACATTGAGTCCGTGGTATTACAATGGTTCACGTGTATTACAATGACGTCACTGGTTATTACAATGACTCACGTGGTATTACAATGACGTCACGTGGGATTACCAAATGACGTCACGTGGTATTACAATGGACGTCACATGATAAATCCGGTGATAGTAATGGAGAAACACTACAGAAGTGAAACAGCTCTCTCAAGTCAAAGATGTTAGCAGCCTTCCGGTCACATTACCTACAACAAGCGTACTCACTGTTGAGAGCAGTATCTACAGGAGCTTATCTCATTTCCAGATGGTGTGTAGTTTTAAACAGTGTAACCTATTGGTTACGGCAAAGTTCTAATTGATTACCTTTTAATTAAACTAATTACTATTTATTGCAAATGTTTGGGAATGAAAACTCTTGGGACCATGTTACCATGGTTACCTCTCCTCTATCAGATTCCAGTACCTGAGAAGTTAGGGGACTAGACCCCGAATGGAAAACTGAAACATTACGATGGGATCTCTTCCATTTTATATTCCTCAATATTTGTACAGGTACTGTGGGTTTAGAATATAATAACGTCATTTAATGTATGACGTCATTTAAATGTAATGACGTAACTTAATGACGTAAATGAAATCTAGAGACGTCCAGTCATGACGTAGAACTACTCCCCACAACATACCTCCATTACACCCCCTCACACCTCCCCCCCCCCTTGTGACGCTAGCCATCCACCTGGCATCATTGTACCCATGTCAAGCACAATCCTCCTCCGAACCTGCCTGGCACGTGATGGACGTGTATTAGTGTTGCGCGAGATAAGATCGGTATTGGAGTATAAGAGACAGAGAAACTGCGCAACAGTCCACCATTCCTCAATTGGTAGTGCTAAACCTTGGAGGTGGGAGAGCCGGTAGTGAAGATACCGCGCACTTCTACCAGTGTAGAGGCCGGTACAAGGTTTAAGTCGCGCGGAAACATTAAACTGCAAAACAAGTTCTCCTTGAACAAAAAGAAAAAGGATATAACAGATGTTATCTCTGTGTTGGAGTACGCGCTCTATGTACCATTGCGTCTCCAGGTACGAATCTCTCATGTAGAGCCAACCATTTCCCAAAAATGTTTCCCCACTATTAAAAAATTATTTTCGATTAGTTACTTTTCTTTGCTAGTTTTTGCGGGGAAAACTCGTATGCCCGGGAACCGTGATACATGAACGTCACGTGGGATTATGATGACGTCACGTGGTATTATGATGACGTCACGTTTGTATTATAATGCCGTCACGTGGTATTTGAAGTAATTCACGTGGTATTTGATTACGTCATGTGGTGTAATTAACTGTATCATTTAACAGGGTGATCCTGGAGCGAGCGGTAGCTACGGGGTGTTTTAAAGAGGAACGAGATATTTTAGAACCGTATTGAGATGGAGCTGAAAATGAACACGGTACCTCAATGAAGATGTAATATCATGTGTCTATACCACTCTAACCAAATCCACGCTAATCTTTGGTAAGATGCTAATTTCAGTGTTAATACCACACTTAAAAACCCTAAATCCACGCGACTCTTGGTAAGATGCTAATATCAGTTTTAATACAACTTAAACAACTCCACGCCTTAATTTGGTTAATACGCTAATATCCAGTGTTAATTCCACCTTTAAAAAATCCCCGCTAATCTGGTAAGATGCTAATTCATTGTTATTACCACTCTTAAAACCAAATCCACGTAATCTTGGTAAGATGCTAATAATCCGTGTTTAATACCACACTTAAACAAAATCCACGCTAAATCTTGGTTAAGTTGCTATATCAGTGTTTATACCACACTTAAACAAATCACGCTAATCTTGGTTATGATGCTAATATCAGTGTTAATACCACCACTTAAACAAATCCACGCTAATCGTGGTAGATGCTTATATCAGTGTTTAATACCACACTTAAAAAAATCCACAGCTAATTCTTGGTAAGATGGAATATCAGTGTTAATACACACACTTAAAACAAATCCACGCTAATCTTGGTAAGATGATAATATCGGTTAATACCACTTAAAACAAAATCACGCTAAAATCTTGGTAGATGCTAATATCAGTGGTTAATTACCACACATAAACTAAAATTCCACGCTAATCTTGGTTAAGATGCTAATATCAGTGTTTATGACCACACTTAACAAATCCAGCTCTTTGTAAGATGGCTAAGATCAGTGTTAATACCACACTAAACAAATCCTACGCTTAATCTTGGTAAGATGCTAAATATTAGTGTTAATACAAACTTAAACAAATCCACGTA